GCTCAATGGTATTTTTCCAAGCCTGTCATTTGGTTATTGATCTCCCTTTTACAATCACCCCAATCCCTCTAGATCAGTGATTACCAACCTTTTTTTATCATAACTTTTATTTTCATTTAGTTTCATATACAATTTTACAGGGAAAAAAATCAACAACAATTTTTTTTTTTATATTTTACATATGTGTGTCATATTTAAATCACATGCTGTACTCAGCTATAATTGATAGACACAGTTGAAACCAGAAGTTTACATACGCTGTATAAAAAGGCACATAACCATTTAAAAAAAGTCAGATGTTAATGTGACTAAACTTTCTCTCTTTTAGGTAAGTTTGGATTATCAAATTTGCTTCTGTTCTGTTTAATAGCAGAATAATGAGAGAGATATGTTTAGAGAAATTGTTATAACTTTTCTTAAAAGTCAAGTTTACATACAATAAGATTATTCTGCCTCTGATAAAGCATAGATGATGATGTCAAGGTTTTGGAAGTTTCTGATTTGGCTAATTGACAACATTTGAGTTAATTGGAGGCACAACTGTAGAATAGTATTGAAGGAAAACCTCAAACACACTGCTTCCTTGTGTGACAACATGGGAAAATCAACAAGCCAGAATCAACAAAACAGCCAGATTACAATTAGCTAAATTACACTGGGACAAGACTAATGTTTGGAGACATGTCCTGTGGTCTGATGGAGCTAAGATTGAACTGTTTGGCCATAATGACCAGAGTTACATTTGGAGGACAAAGGGGAAAGCTTACAAGCCTAAGAACACCATCCCAACTGTGAAGTATGGGGGCGACAGCATCATGTTGTGGGGCTGTTTTGCTGCAGGAGGGACTGGTCCACTTCACAGCATAGAAGACATCATGAAGAAAAAACATTATGTAGAAATACTGAAGCGACATCTCAAGACATCATCCAGGAAATTAAAACTTGGCCACAAATGGCTCTTCCAAACAGACCATGACCCTAAGCATACTGCCAAATTAGTGCCAAATGTGCTTTAATTACAACAGAGTGAATGTTTTGGAGTGGCCATCACAAAGCCCTGATCTCTATCCTATAAAAAATTTGTGGGCAGAGTTGAAAAAGCTTGTGCGAGCAAGACAGCCTACAAATCTGACTCAGTTACACCAATTATGTCAGGGGGAATGGGGCAAAATTATTTCAAACGATTGTGAGAAGCTTGTGACCCAAAACATTTGACCAAAGTTATACAGTTTAAAAGCAAAGTTAAAAAAATACCAAGGAAATGCATGTACACTTTTGACTGTCTAGAAATTAATAAAAACATCTTAAAAATAATTTTCTCATTATTCTGGCATTTAGCAAATAAAAATCATTTAGGTAATCCTAACGGACCTAAAACAGTAAATGTTTAGTATGAATTACCATCAGAAATAAAAAAAAAATGGTTATGCTCCTTTTTTTAGAGTGTATGTAAACTTCTGGTTTCAACTGTATATATATATGTTGCAGAAGAATACTAAATATTGCAGTGTCATTTTTTTTCCTCCATGCAAGGATTGCAAAGATGTATCTGAGTGTAGATGCACTGATGGGCTGTAAAAGTGCTGTGGTTTTCAGTTTCTTTGTGTGTGTGTGTGTGTGTGTGTGTGTGTGTGTGTGTGTGTGTATGTCTCAGATTCTGCTGGGTGATGAAGATGTGATTCTAGAGCAAAAGGATCTGATGAGCACCTGGTATCATTTTCTGGTGTCTCGGCTGCTCTTCACTCACCCCACCATCAAACCTCCTGACCTGCACTACTACGCTCAGGTACAAGCACTTACTTTAGTAGCTTTGATTTCTCCAGGGTATTTATTTATTTTACATATTCAAATTTTAAAGTTGGAATCTGTTAATCTGTTAATAGTGTTTTTGTCTTTTGTTTTTGTAAATTTTTTTTGTAAATCAACCAGATGTGGATGAAGCGTCAAGTGCGAGTGATTTACATGTTAAGTCAGTGCAAAGATGTCTGCGCCAATAGCCTAGTGGTTAGTGCTTCGACACAGCACCGAAGTGCTTAAGGAAACCTGAGTTCGATTCCTGGCTTGAAGTCCTTTGCCGATCATTTCCATTCTCTGCCTCTCATACTTCTCATAAAATCTCCACTGTCCTATGCCAATAAATGTGAAAACCCCTAAAAAAAAATAATTATAAAAAAGTCAGTGCAAAGATACAAACAGACATCTGCGCCTACAGTTGGTGCCCCGAGAGAAAGTCCTCTTGCCAACACCGGACAATAGCTCATTAAACTGAGCTTAGCTCAGTCTGAAGCACCGCTGAAAGCTTCCATCATCCAGATATAGTTTCTGGAGGAGTTTATGAACTCACAGAGCTGCTGCTCCTCTGAATGGATCTAGTGGACTAAGACATTGGGCCAAACAAATCAAAGCTGTTTTTCAGCCTTCCTACAGCACATAATGCGCAGCTACTATCCCAATAAAATCCATGTTAGCAATTTAGCAATGAAGCTAGAGTCACTGGGCAGACAGAAACCCCGCCCTTGACACGAATCTGCATCTGTTGTGAAGTGAATTTGACGTGTGAATGAAGCGAGTAAACTCAAAATGTTCACACGTCTATTTATACGTGAATAGCACAAATTATTTGCGCATGCCGCGTCTGGTGTGAACACAGCATTAGTGTGGTCTAAGGATTTTATTTACTTTCGATTTAGGTTTTAAACATTTTAATGCATAATGCTAAAGCAAACAAAAGAAATATATTGCTAAAACTTTTAATATCATTCAAAATAATATTTATATGAAATATTGAAATAATAAATAGTTTGTAAAATATATATTTTTTGTGTTTTTTGGTTATTGGTTTTATTTTTATATATTTTATAAAGTCTTTCTTTACATTTTTTTTTGTATTTCTCTAAAATTATTTTTGCATACTTTGAATAATTTTTTATAATTAATTTTATATAAAATAATTTAAGTCATTATGAGTAATTAAAATGTCAAGTAATTATGATTAATAATTTATATTTAGTTCATGTTAAGCAACATAAAAAAAATAGTCAAACTAACAAAAAAAATAGATAAATTGATCGGATATTTATATTTCGGTTAATTGTGTTTTTAATTAATTTTTCTGTTTTCATTTTAATTATTAGATTTTCTTCTTTTTTTATAGTAATATGTTTTTATTGATTTAAATGTCTATAGTTCCTGTAATTAATTTTGTTTGTTTGTTTTTGTTAGTTTAGTTCATCTTTATATTTTGAATTGAATGTTTCAAGTTCATGTAGGAAATACGTTAAGTTTAGCGATTTTATTGTTTCATAAAAAAATTGACAATAAACATGCTACAATCTTTATAAAAATTTATAGCAACAAGCTAAACTTAATAAAAATAAGAAATGTTTAATTAGCAACCAGGTGAAATAATTGTAAAAATTTAAAAATCTTAAATTCAAGTGACAATTTTTTATTTTAGTACAGGATTTAGTTAACTATAATAACTCAACACACACACACACACACACACACACACACACACACACACACACACACACACACACACACACACACACACACACACACACAAAGCAGTGAACTCTCTGATACACAGACAGCTGAGAGCAGAATTAGTCCTGCACTGAAATCTGCAGTTGTTTTTCTGGATCTGACAGTGACTGAATCTATAATTTGACTCTATGTTGTTCTCAGTCCAGTATGAACATGTTTCTGGGTCCGCGGGCGACGCCGGAGCCTCTGGACATCATCCTGTTGTCTGCGTTTGAGTTTGACCTGCATCAGGTGATCAAAGACTGCAGGTGTGTTTACTCTTTCAGCGCACACACACATACACACACACACACACACACACACAGAGGCTTTTAAATGCTCCTGATTGGTGCACCATGCAATGTCAAAATGATGATTGACAGCCTTTTCGACATCTGGGGCAGCACAGAATACACAACAGGAAAAAGGCAGAGAGAGCACCACAGAAAACTAAAAACCACAAAACATACGTGGAATGTAGCATGTACACTAAACCTGATCAACACGCTCTAACTTTTACTTTTGATTTGCGCACAATTACAGATATAAGAATCTCATTGCTGTGACATCCCTATTCTGTTTTTCCCCCAGTCTAACTACTCCAATATTTAGTTGTTGTACAGTTTTTAGGATTTGTACAGGTGCTGGAAATCCTTGAAATTGCTTTAATTGTAATGCTGAGTTTGCAAAGTTTTTTTACAAACTGCTTGAAAATGTACTTTTGAGTTGCTATCATAGTAATCAACCTTACTAAAAGGGTAATAACCGTTAGCTATGCAAATAGAAGAATTATTGTTGCATGTGGCTGTAGTTTGATTGTTTATCTGTGCACTTTAAGAATAAAATACACACATATATATATATATATATATATATATATATATATATATATATATATATATATATATATATATATATATATATATATATATATATATATATATATATATATATATATATATATATATATATATATATATATATATATATATATATATATATATATATATATATATATATATATATATATATATATATATATATATATATATATATATATATATATATATATATATATATATATATATATATATATATATATATATATATATATATATATATATATATATATATATATAAATATATATATATATATATATATAT